CCGTGGGCTGGGTGGTGCTGACAGAAGAGCAGGCTCAGCTGGGAAGAGCAGCCCTTCCCCCTTAGGCATTTTGTCCTCCCTTTTGCACCCCCGTGGGTAGAACCTAAAGGGAACCAGGTGGCAAAAAGGGTGTGGTTTTCAGAGTCCCCGCACAGTGTGGAGGAGGGGCAGCAGCCTAGGTCCCCCAGCGAGAGCAGACTGCCTTGGTGTGCCATGTGGGGTTTTCCAGAACGGATTTGTGCTGGTTTCTCTTCCTCCATTGGCTGCAGCCTCTGGCTCCATGATGGAGAAATTGAAATTGGAGAAGTCCTGATGAATCCCAATCCTTGGAGCCAGGGAGAGGAGTGGGAGGGAAACTTGTGGGACTTGCTTGTTACTTGTTGGTTTTAGTGACTTGGGTTATGGTGCCTGGTCCCTTATCGCCTGTGACTCTGCATTCTGGTTCTCTTGGGATAAGCCGTATTCTCAAAGTTTCCTCTTCGTTTATATTAGATGAAGGGACACTCCTGTTGTTCCCAAGTCCCTTCTCTCACACCTGCCTCTCTTTCCTCCTTTCACAGTGCCTCTGCTTGCAGGTGTCTGGATACTGGCTCCCAAATCTCATCTCCCCTCAGGAGGCCATGATTAGAAGTGGATTATGCTTTAGCAGGTTTATCCTGGCTGATATGTGTCGCTTGCTCCTTTTCTAAGGGACAAGATTATGGGTAAGCGGAGTTTGTAGAGATGTTGGGGCCCATCAACTCCCGAGAGTCATCCAGTGCAGCAGAGCAGCTTGGCCCCTTTTCTGTTTCTTCCACTGTGAACTGGTCTTGTTTGAACTTGGTCTGTCTTCCCAGCATGGGATCATTCCGTCTTCAGGCTCTTCTCTCCAAGGGAAGATTCTAGGAGGTGAAGTCGTCTAATTCTCTACTCCTACTGTTCTGTTTTGGTCCTGGCAGGAAATAGATCTGTGCTGTCTGTGTCCGAGAACCCTCTGGACTCCCCCTTAGTGGCTGTATTCTCATAAAGCTGGTGAAAGTGTGGTTCCATGTTCTGTTCGTCTTTCCTGCTTCCTCCACTGGTTTAGGGGACAAATATCACAGTCCATTAGCAGTCACAGCTGCAAGCCATACACTTCCTGCCCTCCCACTTGGGCTAAAAGAAAAGCAATCACTTCCTCAGCGAGGGTCAGCCTGGCTCCCTGGAGCGGACAGGGCTGTGGATGTTCTGGCCCCATCCTAGCTCCCAGCCTGACATCCTGGATCCTCAGCATTGAAGATGGGCCACAAACTCCTTCCAGAACCTGGCAGAAATCTGCATGTGCTTACCATGTCGTGCACAGGTAACCAAGATTGAAATTTATTTGCCTTTGATTTAAGTACACACATTCTCGTGGGTACCTTGGTTATTCAGGCTCATCAGGTTCTTGCTTTGACACTTAACCTAAGAAAGTATTAGAAAAAGAATTACTAATGCAGGTTGATAAGAGAATCTTTCAAAATATGGAGTTCTGTGAGGAGAAAAGAACAAGGATTGGAATTCTGAAGACTTAGAGTTTCTTGCGAAGTTGATGAGCACTAAGATAAATTTAACACACCAGTTTGAAGCTATCCTAGGATAATGTCCTCTTTTCTCATCATTTAGGAAGTCAGTCCTCCACACCAGAATGTGCATTAGTGTGTGTGTGTGTGTGTGTGTGTGTGTGTGTGAGAGAGAGAGAGAGAGAGAGAGAGAGAGAGAGAGTCCTGTCATCACATCGGAAGGGGCCAGGTATTGGGCATGTGTTCTCTGATGGTCCAGCAGGGTGGTTGTTGGAAGTCCAAACCTGTCCACTCCCGCTCTGGGATGTTAATTGCCACCTCTTCATCCACCTCTTATCTGGGCTGTTCTTGGGCACTGCAGCAGTATTTACCCACAGAGAGACCAGACGGTCCATTTTTTGGACTCCCATCTAGAGCCTGAAAACCTAATAACCTTGGGGAAATTCCATTTGCTTCCTGGGGACTTTGGCTTCACATCTCTGGGCCTTCCTTTTACCAGGAATCTACTGCTGCTTGCCAGACCATTTCTTCTTCCTTATGCTTTGGTCTGTGCTATTGGGGCCGATCCCTGTCACCCTAGCTGGTGGGACACTGCTGTCTTGGGCTAGGGCAGGGCAGGCAGCATTTGGTTCTCTACAGGCAGCTAAACAGTGGCTGGGATTTATTCTCCCATAAGGAGATTTGGTTTAGATCAATCAGTTTTTTTTTTTTTTTTTTTGTGATTTAACCTCAGTCTGGACCTGAGTGTCCAGGTGAATAGACCTAAGGCATCTTCTGATCAGAACAGCCCTTGAACCTGGATCAAAAGGAGTTACGTAGCAATTTGAAAAGATCTGCAAAGGGTGCTGGTTTCTGGCGGCTGTTCGAGGTTTCTTCTAATGCTAGTGAAACGTGGACTCAGACTCTCCCACCTTCTTGGTCCCCCCTTTCCTTAAATTAGAGGATATAAACTGGGGAGATCCAGCTGGGGCATGTGTGTGTTCTCTAATACAAACTCGCCTGGGCTCAGGAAGCTGGGGAGAGCAAGCGTTGGAGTCTTGCTAACTTGGGTTTGAATTCTGGCTCCATTAGTTTTATAGCCTTGATCCCACCGCCTGCCTGTCAGAGCTTCAGTTTCTCATTTTGAAGATGAGGCTAATACCTGTCTTGCAGGATTGTGGTTAGGATTAAAGGAAATATCATGATAGCATTAGCCAAGTGCCTGGCATAACCACACAAGCAGGTCATGGGTAGGGGTGGTACTCAAAGCTTTCACAGAGTGATGTAGAGTCAGCTGCACATGAGGAGAAGCTACCAGGCTGTCACTGGAGTTGGTTTTGACTTTTGCATCTTTGTCCCATAGAGGCAGAGTGTGAATTAGAATGTGAATTTGAATGTTGGTTTTGCTTTTTGGTCTAGATCTTTACTAATTCCGTGGATCTCTGCACCTGGTTCCTCTGGTCTGAGCTCTCAGAGCTGTCATTAGGGATAGCACTGAAGCCTGTGAAGTCCCTGTGCTGTGCCTGACACTCAGGAGGGACTCTTCAATGACACCGTTTTAAAAGCCCAGTTCTCTAATCTTAAGCATAATTGAGTTAAGCATAATTGTTTGTAGAAGGAATGGTGAAGTGGCAGCCCTATCTACATGGGTGTATGTACACAGGCCACCATATCAATTTTTTTGAAGGTTTAAAAGAATGGATGTCTTATAATTATAATTGATATTTTTGGAGATTTTATGTTGTATCTAAAGCTTAGTTTATTATTCAGTAGATACAACAGCTACAGTATCAACAGTTTTGTCTTGTGCACCAGTTATATGTGTAAGATTGTTGATTAATTTTATACTAGGGACTGCAGATTGGGTTTTAGGCTATTGAATAATAGATTTAAAATAATTTACTATTTTCTTATATTTGGGAAAAGTTAAAATATATTTTAAGCAGAATGAGGCAAACTGGAAAAGAATTAGAATAAATAGATGTAACTGAATGTGAAGAGTAGCTGTAGGGCTGGGGATGTGGCTCAAGCCGTGGCGCGCTCGCCTGGCATGCATGCGGCCTGGGTTCCGTCCTCAGCACCACATACAAACAAAGATGTTGTATCCGCCGAAAACTAAAAAAAAAAAAAAATATTGAAAAATTCTCTCTCTCTCCCTCTCTTAAAAAAAAAAGAGTAGCTGTAAATGGATATGTGAGACATTGTATGTGTCCAGATCTTCAGTTATATAGCTTCACAAATGATTTTATGATGCTGTTAGTCACTGAGGACCAAAGTAAGTGAATTTGTCACCATCATTGTCCCATTATCTGTTTATAAACCCAGTTTAATTAAAAGTAGTGAACAACACTGTTAAACCACATCAGTAAACATCACACCACTTCTTCAATAAACATCACACCACTTCTCATACAATAAGACTTCTGAATTAAAGAACAACTTAACTTTAGCAAGAGGCAAATGAAGCTGATAATTGTCTGGCATAATTGAGTTCTGTGCCTAGTTGGAGTAAATGAGATCTCAAGGTGGATTTGCCCTGGATTGGAGTCACTGCTGGGTTCCTGGCCAGTGTTCCCCAGGCACTGCCACGCCTACTTGCAGGGAAACACAGGTGCCTCTGTGGTGTTCACAACTTTGAGACCATCTCTGGAATCAAGAGGTCCGATGCAGGTGTTTGGATGCGTTCAGCCTGATTGCTTCTTGAGAACTGCATGTGTTGAACATTGGAGTTTTGTTGGGGTGATGGTTTTTTCTTTCCTAAAAGTAACTTAGGTGTGTGGACTGGGGCTTTAAGGCAGGCTTCCCAATCCTCTTAGAAAACACCAAGGACTTCTGGGGGAATGTGGATTCCTGTATGCAGGGAACAAAGCTGTGTGGTCTCAAGTAGTGGTGTCCTCCAGGACCTTCCTCTGAAACATTTGCTTTCTCTTTGTAGTAGTGTGTATTAAATGGCTTGTGTTTTTAGACAAAAGAAAATTAAATTAGTGTTGATTCTTTTGGGACTGAAGAAATCATTCACTGCTCATAGTTGTGCCATTGAATTGGCATGAGAGACCCAAAATCATGGTGTGAGGGCTGGGAGGGACTTTGGGGTCATCTGGTCGACCCCATTGCTTTACAGAGAAGGCATGGGCTGCTGGCCCATAGCCTCTTGGTCACCGTGGGAACCATGGCATAGCCAAAGAGAATTCAGGCCTCCTCATGATGAGCCATGTGCCCTCTCCAGTCTCAGCTTCCTTCAGTTTTCCATTTGGTTTGGTGGTTGGGCTTTTTGCCATTTGCTGAGTTGCACATTTTAGTAAGTGGAAACTTAACAAGTTTTTAGTGCATGAGTGACTGAGATGGAGCCCAAACACTGTGCTATAGAGATACTTGATGGCAGTGCTTGAAATAAAAAACACAGGCTCTAACTTGATCCCTTTTCGCTCATAACCAAAAATTAAGTCTCTGGCCATGTAACCAAGTGACTCGGACTCATTGCTCATGTTTTTAACCTTTTAGAGCAGAAGAATCGATAACAGAAGATGACAAGAGGAGGTATGTTTGGTGTTGCACCTGGCTTTAATTTAATCATTCTGACCACACCTCATGGATTGAACACTCTGTAGCACATTACCAATAACACAGAGTCCATGGGAAGCTTTGGCACACAGAACACAGGTAAGAGCATGAGATCTGGAAAGGAACTTGCCCAGGATTCAGAATCTGTGCTTCTTTCCAGCAGACTGAGGTTTTGTCTTGTGCGCAGCCTCTGCCCATTGCCAGCCTGTGGCCTTTGGCTGTTCTTCCTCGGGGGTGACTTCCTCTCATTTCCCAGCCTTCCCCATTCTCTCCTCCTCCTCCTCCAGTTGGCTGCACCCTGCTCTCATTACTCCTTACCTTTCCCTCCTCTCATTTCATAGCTTATCTCCTCATGCAGAAAATGTTTTTGTTGCACTAACAGCCGATCCCATGGTGACCACTCTGAATTCTTGATCACTGTTGACTGATTACCTGTAACATGTTACTCCACTGATATTTATTACCATACTAACTTATAACATCCCAGCTTCTTCTTTCTCATTGCAAATAAAAATCTAAAAATTCCATTAATTCAATAGTTTTCTTATATAGCTTCTTTTTTTTAAATTTTTTTATTAGTTGCTCAAAACATTACAATGATCTTGACATATCATACATTTGATTCAAATGGGGTACGTAATCTTAATCTTATTTTTCCACGTGTACAGATTGCAGGATCACATTGGTTATACAGCCACGTTTATACATAGGGCCATACTAGTGTCTATTGTATTGTGCTGTCCTTCCTATCCCTCCCTCCCCTCCCCTCCCCTCTTTCTACCCAATCTACTGTGACATGTTTTTCTCTCTCTCTTTTTTCTTCCCCCTCACACCATCTTATATGTAATTTTGCATAACAATGAGGGTCTCCTACCATCTTCTGTGCAATTCCCTTTCTCTCTCCCATTCCCACGCACCCTATTTAATGGTAATCTTCTTCTCATGCTCTTCCTCCCTGCTCTGTTTTGAGTCCCACCCCCCCACCACCCCCCACCCCCCGCCTTATATCAAAGAAGACGTTTTGCATTTGTTTTTTGGGGATTGGCTAGCTTCACTTAGCATAATCTGCTCTAATGCCATCCATTTCCCTGCAAATGCCATGATTTTGTTGTTTTTTTTTAGTGCTGAGTAATATTCCATTGTGTATAAATGCCACATTTTTTTTTTATCCATTCATCTATTGAAGGGCATCTGGGTTGGTTCCACAGTCTAGCTATTGTGAATTGTGCTGCTATGAACATTGATGTAGCTGTGTCCCCGTGTCCCTGTTGAACGCTCTTTTTAGGTCTTTTGGGTATACCGAGAAGGGGAATAGCTGGGTCAAATGGTGGTTCCATTCCCAGCTTTCCAAGGAATCTCCATACTGCTTTCCAAATTGGCTGAACCAATTTGCAGTCCCACCAGCAATGTACAAGTGTATCCTTTTCCCCACATCCTCGCCAGCACTTGTTATTGTTTGACTTCATAATGGCTGCCATTCTTACTGGAGTGAGATGGTGTTTTAATTTGCATTTCTCTGATTGCTAGAGATGGTGAGCATTTTTTCGTGTATTTGTTGATTGATTGTATGTCCTCCTCTGAGAAGTGTCTGTTCAGAACCTTGGCTTCTTTTTTACATGGAAAGAAGTTATATTTCCATGGTCAATAATACTCTGAATTCTTCTTTTGAAAAACCATGAGTTATTTTAATAATTAGATAATTGAAGTACTTTGTACTTTTCTTGGTTCCTCTCTATATAGTACCATTTAAATTGTTCTGAATTCTTTTCTTAAAGAAACTATGGAGGAGTATATGTTGGCCTTCCATCTGAAGCTGTCAGTATGGTGTCCAATCAAACCAAGACTGTACGAAAAAGTAAGATTGCATTGTGTTTACTTTCTCAAAATATTTTTATGTTATGAAAAATATGAAATTTGCATTTCTGCTTGCTTGACTCAGTCTACATGTTACGTAGTTTCAGTGAGCCATCCTTTTGATCGCTGTAAGTATTATTTGATCGCTGTAATCATTTCTTGAAATTGTCACCCAGATGTTAAAAGTAATTTCAGAGCAAATTTTGCTTTTATTTGTGGTTATGCTCTATGTAGTCTTAATTCCTTATTAATTTAAGTAATAATCAGTATGATAATTAATCCTGACATTTAAATAGGTTTATGGAGTTTTTGTGGAATACAAAGGTACATTTCTATAAAGATGACTAACTAATAAGCAGTCTGGTGATTTAAGGAAAAGTAACTGCCTATTGTATAATTAAATGAAATGAGGTTCCCTTTTCTGAGTTTTATAGTTACTAATTTTGGAGCTAAGGAAGTTTTTCTGAATAACAGACATGACTGCAACCACGTGGATGGTGTCTTGCTAGGAAACTCAAAATGAGGCTAATGGTCAAGAACATTGATTTACCAACAAGGGTGATGAATTGTCATATGATACATAGTTTTAAGTGACTATTGATATATTTACTTTGCACACAAAGCTGTTTTCTATTATTTTTAACATACTATTGTAATTTGTTTCTCATTGCTATTTCTCTAAGATTTAGACTGGGAAAAAAGTGTATGTTATCACTGCCTGTAGTTTTGTAGAAAATTAGAATTTGTTCTTTATATCTGAACACTTAATTTTCTTGATTTTTCTCTTTAAGATTAGAGGAAAATAACATCCCGACTCAATAATCAAGAGGTACTGTATGTTTCTTTATATATGTTTAGACTTGTTGAATAAACTGTGGATCTTATTGCTGTGTATTTAATAAGAATGACCTGTGTGTCCATGTAAAACACTGAGGTCTTGAGGGCCTAAGATTTGAGAAATGACAGATCATTAGAAATCACAGAGGCTCAGAATGGTTAGTTGAGGATCCATATGAAGTATTAAGGATAGCCAGGGTTCAGGTAATGCACAGAGAGGTGGTGTGTCCACAGCAGATCTCCAGTAGAGATGGGTGGTCACCACTGGGCAGAGATAGAGTAGGCAGGAGACTTGCCTCTGCTCTGTCCAGCCATGCACTCAGTTGTGGGATCCCCTCTCTGTTCAGTCCTGCCTGATGATGCCCAGCCTCTTGGCAGGAATAGCCTGTCTCCTGAGACAGCTTTTTCTCCTTTGGGAGTCAGGTAGCCTTGGATTTGAATTCAGGCTTTTTCACTTATTGGTCGGGCATTAATTTCCCCTTTGTGGCCTCTGTTTTGTAATCTGTAAAATAGATTTAATGCTTAGATTTAAGGGTTGTTATTAGGGCTAAAGGTGAAATAAGTGGTTGCTTCTGGTGTCATCATTGCCACTGCCATCGTCGATCAACCTATTATTCTTTTTATGTAACGAGAACCCAGCATTGGAAAACCAGGAGCATGACTTTTTGATATTGATCCAGGTTCTTGCTCAGGGAGGTACAGGAGTCAGTATTTGGGGTGGGGTGGGATTGTGACGATCACAGTGGAGGTTAACATGCTGGAGGAGGGGGCCACAGGAACCGTGGGGAGTTTCTTCCCTGCAGGAACCGTGACAAGCTTTGCGTAGCCAGGTCTTCCAGGACTTTCTCATCAGGGCAGCAGCCTTGTGGGGGTTGATCCCTACCACCTGTGCCCCAGAGTGTTGGATTTCTCTGGGAATTTGCTGAAGATTTTTTGTTTCTAGGATTTAGTTCTAATTCTAGATTTCTGAGTTCCCTGCACAAGAATTTGAACTGTGTTTGTATCATGCACAAAAGGTGATATAGTTGAAAGCAACTTTATATCACCCATTCCCCTCCCAGAAATGGGTGTATTTCACAGAGTGTAGGCGTGGAGTGGGAGGAGGTGCCCTGGAGACAGGGGTCGGGAGCCTGGCAGCTCTGCTGCAGCTAAGGCCTCATGTGAGCACCTTGGGCTTACTTTCTCACTGCAGAGTTGGGCAAGTTGACTTTAGTGTGTGGATCTAAAATTTCTTCAGGAGAACTCAGCTTCAGGTAGCTAGCTTAAATATTTCTTTACTATTCATGGTTACAAATTATGTCATTTTATTGCTATCCCGCCTTATTGTGAATTAGCATCTGCATATTAGAGAAAACATTTGGCCTTTGGTTTTGTGGGATTGGCTTATTTCATTTAGCATGATGTTCTCCAACTCCAGCCATTTACTGGCAAATGCCACAATTTCACTCTTCTTTAAAGCTGAGTAATATTCCGTTGAGTTTATATGCCACATATTCTTTATCCATTCATCTCTTGAGGGACACCTAGGTTGGTTCCATAGTCTAGCTATTGTGAATTGAGCTGCTATAAACATGGGCGTGGCTGCATTACTGTAGTATGCTGATTTTAAGTCCTGTGGGTATAAACCAAGGAGTGGGATAGCTGGATTCCATTGCCAGTTTTCTGAGGACTCTCCATATTTCTTTCCATAGTTGTTAAACCAATATGCAGTCCCACCACCAATGTATGAGTGAACCTTTTCTCCCACATCCTCGCCAACATTTATTGTTGCCTGTATTCTTGATGATTGCCATTCTGACAGGAGTGAGATGAAATCTTAGGGTAGTTTTGATTTGCATTTCTCTAATTGCTAGAGATGTTGAACATTTTTTCATGTATTTGTTGATCGATTGTATTTTTTCTTCTGTGAAGTGTCTGTTCAGTTCCTTAGCCTATTTATTGATTGAGTTATTTGGGGTTTTTTTGTGTTCAGGTTTTTGAGTACTTTATATATCCTGGAGATTAATGCTTTATGGGAGGTGCATGTGGTAAAGATTTCCTCCCAATCTGTAGGCTCTCTCCTCACATTATTGATTGTTTCCTTTCTGAGAAGAAGCTTTTTAATTTGAATCCATCTTATTTATTGATTCTTGATTTTACTTCTTGTGCTTCAGGGGTCTTGTTAAGGAAATCAGATCCTAGGCCGACGTGGTGAAGATTTAGGCCTATTTTTTCTTCTATTAGGTGCAGGGTCTCAGTTCTAGTGCCTAAGTTTTTGATCCGTTTTGAGTTGATTTGTGCAGGGTGAGAGATAGAGGTTTAATTTCATTTTGCTACATATGGATTTCCAGTTTTGCCATCACCACTTGTTGAATATGCTATCTTTTCTCCAGTGAATATTTTTGGCACCCTTGTCTAGAATGAGATAACCATATTTATGTGGGTTTGTCTCTATCCTCTATTCTATATCATTGGTCTACATGTCTATTGGTGCCAATACCATGCCATTTTTGTTAGTATTGCTCTGTAGTATAGTTTAAGGTCTGGTATTGTGATGCCTCCCGGTTCACTCTTCTTGGTAAGGATTGCTTTAGCTCTTCTGGGTCTCTTATTTTTCCAAATAAATTTCATGACTGCTTTTTCTATTTCTATGAAGAATGTCATTGGGATTTTAACAGGAATTGCATTAAATCTGTATAACACTTTTGGTAGTATAGCCATTTTGACAGTAATAATTCTGCCTACCCAGGAGCATGGGAGATCTTTCCAACTTCTGAGGTTTTCTTCAACTTTTTTCTTTAGTGTTCTGTAGTTTTCACTGTAGAAGTATTTCATCTCATTTGTTAGATTGATTCCCAAGTATTTTATTTTATTTTTTTTGAGGCTATTGTGAATGGAGTAGTTTTCCTAATTTCTCTTTTAGTGGATTCATCACTGATGTATAGGAATGTGTTTGATTTATGGGTGTTGATTTTATATCCTGCTACTTTGCTGAATTCATTTATTAGTTCTAGGAGTTTTCTGGTGGAATTTTTTGGATCTTCTAGATATAGAATCTTTCATCAACAAATAGTGATAGTTTGAGTTCTTCTTTACCTATTTGCATCTCTTTAACTTCTTTCTTTTGTCTAATTGCTCTGACTAGAGTTTCAAGGATGATGATGAATAGATGTGGTGAAAGAGGACATCCTTGTCTTGCTTCAGTTTTTAGTGGGAATCCTTTCAATTTTCCTCCATTCAGAATGATGTTGGCCTTGGGTTTATCATATATAGCTTTTACAATGATGAGGTATGTTCCTACTATCCCTGGTTTTTCTAGTGTTTTGAACATGAAGGTGTGCTGTATTTTGTCAAATGCTTTTTCTGCATCTGTTGAGATGATCATATGATTTTTGTTTTTAAGTCTATCAATATGATGAATTATGTTTATTGATTTCTGTATACTGAACCAACTCTGCATCCCTGGGATGAACCCCGCTTGATCATGGTACACTATCTTTTAAATATGTTTTTGTATGCGATTTGCCAGAATTTTATTGGGAATTTTTGATCTCTGTTCATCAGGAATATTGGTTTAAAATTTTCTTTCCTTAATGGGTCTTTGTCTGGTTTTGGTATCAGTGGGATATTAGCCTCATAGAATGAGTTTATAAGGGTTCCTTCCTTTTCTATTTCATGGAATACTTTGAGGAGTATTGGTGTTAATTCTTCTTTGAAAGTCTTGTAGAACTCATCTGAGAATCCATCTGGGCCTGGGCTTTTCTTTGTTGTTAGGCTTTTGATGACATTTTCTATTTCATTACTTGAAACTGATCTGTTTAAATCACATATGATCTCCTCATTGGGTAGGTCATAGAAATTTGTCTCTAGAAATTTGTTGATGTCTTTGATATTTTCTATTTTATTAGAGTATAAATTTTCAAAATAGTTTCTAATTATCTTCTGTATTTCAGACATGTCCATTGTGATATTTCCTTCTTCATCTTGTATTTTAGTAATTTGAGTTTTCTCTCTTTTTCTCTTCGTTAGCATGGCCAGGCGTTTATCTATTTTATTTGTTTTTTCAAAGAACCAACTTTTTGTTTTGTAATTATTTTAATTGTTTCTTTTGATTTGATTTCAGCTCTGATTTTAATTATTTCCTATCTTCTACTGATTTTGCTGTTGATTTGTTCTTTTTCTGTGGCTTTGAGATATAGTGTTAGCTCATTTATTTGTTGACTTTTTATTCTTCTAATAAATGTACTCAATGCAATAAACTTTCCTCATAGTACTGCCTTCACAGTGTCCCAGAGATTTTGATATATTATATCAAAGAATTTTTTTATTTCATCCTTGATTTTTTTCTACTATCCATTCATCATTCGGTTGTATATTATTTAGTTTCCATTTGTTATAGTAGCTTCTACTTTTTATTTTATCATTGATTTCTAATTTCATTTTATTGTGGTCTGAGAGAATGCTTGGTATTATCTCTGTTTTTTTGTATTTACTAAGAGTTGCTTTGTGGCACAACATATGGTCTATTTTAGAGAAGGATCCATGTGCTGCTGAGAAGAAAGTGTATTTGCTCATTGATGAGATATTCTATATATGTCTGTTAAGTCTAAATTATTGATTGTATTATTTAGTTCTATAGTTTCCTTATTTAGTCTTTGTTTGGAAGGTCTGTCCAGTAGTGAAAGAGGTGTTAAAGTCACCCCATATTATTGTATTGTGGTCTATTTGACTTTTGAAATTGAGAAGGGTTTTTTTTTTTTTAATGTACATAGATGCTCTATTATTTGGGGCATAAATATTTTATAATTGTTATGTCCTGTTTATCTATATTTCCCTTAAGAAGTATGAAATATCCTTCTTTGTCTCTTCTGATTAACTTTGGTTTGAAGTCTATTTTATGGAAACCCCTGCTTGTTTATGCAATCCGTATGAGTGATAAGTTTTTTTCCCATCCTTTCAACTTCAGCCTGTGGATGTCTTTGCCCATGAGGTGAGTCTCTTGAAGACAGAATA